AACTGCTTGGGGAGGTGGGCGTTTGGTTTATCATACTCTACTGCAAGATGTTGTTGTAGTTTGTTCTGGTATGAAAATATATGAAACTATATTGCCGTATAGTTATCACATTACAGTATAATCATTCGATGTGCTTCGATGTGAACTACCTTTTTCCTAGGAAACGGCCGAATTCACTGCGAGCCTGTGCCGGGAGTAGCTCTGCGACCGTGGAGCGCCGACCTCGACGCGAGGGTGCCCATGTTTCCGATGTGGCCGAGTCCTTGGCACAATGGAATTTGGTCTCCTGCACTTTCGATTCAAGTCTCATCTCCACATCGCTAACTGCGGGAATCGTTTTATCGGCGTTTCCCTGAAGCTTCGATTTGCATCGGTGTCTGCAGACATCCGATGTTCGGAAGCGACGACAATGGACAATGGAGAAGCACTTACGAGTTCCTACAACCAGCTGCAACTCTCCATGTGCCTCAAACGCCGTTGACCTACCGAATTTCGCAACTCTGGAGACAGAATACAACGCCAGAGAAGAAAGAGGTTGGTGGTTGAACTCAGTGAGTCGCAGGACACCAGCGGCCTCTTCATCTTCTTTTCGCAAGACCGTAGCAGCCACAAACAGAAAACCCGAATCATCTGGAGGAGTAGCTGGAGATTGCTGTACCATGCGGTGCCCGGTAGCCAGGATTGCTATGCTTCAGGGATGTTCAGGGTTGCGGAGCCCTCAAAGGAGATGCAAGAACACTCCGCCTTTGATTAGTGCTGTCGGCCCCTGGTTCCCCAGATGTCGAGAGCAACCCCGACAAGCTTGGAAAAAGGAAGACAAAAATGAGAGGGAGAGAAAGGGAGATTGAATGATGGATCCAAGGCCTAAAGCCTAGAGTGCTAGAGCCTAGGTGGAATGTCGCACATGGACTTCTGGCTCCAAGCAGCTTCATCTGAAGACCCGAAGTCTTCTCCAGGAAGAAAGCTGAAACTGGTTTCGAGGATGGCAGTTCTCCTTGCAAGGGAGACACGTGCATGAATGCATGTGGCTTATGGCTTATGTGGTCAGTCATGTTAGCTCTTCGCCACCGGGCCGCCACCGTGATCTATCCCCATCATGGGAGTGCAACAGGTAGGCCTCTGCTGGCTTCGCGCGGTGGCCGCGGTGGAGCGCCGCTGGTCGAGTCGATTCAGCTGACGCTCAACCTGTCGCTCGATCTTCCAAACTGCACTGCTTTGTGAACATGTGTGCAAAAGCTTTGTCAACATGGTTTTCACAACATGTCTCTCGTGATGTCTGCAAAGGTCATACATTGCATATTGAACAAGTACCTATGCATAGTGAGTGCACCCTGGCGAAAGCAATGGAGAACACCGTGAGCATCAAGAAACTGATCAGCAGCTGCCCAGCACTGCAGAATCGTAAGCGCAGTCGCCAGCGTGATATCCGCGACAGCTATGGCCACAGCCGTCCACACGACCATGAACACCAAGCGCCATTGGCATCATAATGACTATCGTCGGAAATATCAATATCAAAACTATCTCAGCAACAGACCCCAAGAGCTATGGAACAGTGACCTAGTCCCATGCAGGTTTGGTAGCGCACTCAAATACTCTAGCCTTTTTCGGGCAGTTTGCTCCTTTTTCAAATGCTTTAATCCCTTGCGATGGGTTTGCTTCTGTTTCTGAAATACTCCGGTTGTTTTTTTGCGCGGGCTCGATCTTGTTTCTCAAACACTCTGGTCGGTCTACTCCTGTTTCTCACATACTCTAGTCCTTCCGGCGGTTCGCGCCTGTTTTTCAACACCGCTAGCCCCTGTGCTTTGGATCGTTGTGCTCCTTTTTTTGTCAAAAACTCTAATTCCTTTCGAGCGGTTTGCTCCTAATTTTGTTCGAGCGGTTTGCTCCCGTTTTAAAACTTAGTCTAACATCCTTTCAGCGGTTTGCTACGGTTTCTCAAACAGTCTTCCTTCTTTCGAGCAGCTTGATCCCTTTTCTGTACATTCTAGTCACATCCTAGCGACGAGATTTCTGTGCTGTTGCCCAAACATTCTAGCCTTCTAGCTCCTTTAGAGCGGTTTCTGCCACCACCACACTACATCCGGTACCGGCCCTGGCCTGGCGGTTGTTCCACAACTCTTGTTCCAGTGCAGTTGCTCGATTCTCCTCGCCGAGCTGTGCAGCTTGTCATGAGGGTTAAAACTGAAACCTGTCTGCGCTCCTCGCGCTGCAGCCGGCGTCGCAGCACGAAGTTATCGATTGCCAGGTTCTTCGGAGCCATCCTATCACGTAGGCCAGACAGTCTCGTCGAGCAAGTCACTTCGAAGAGGCGCTCGCAAGGGAGCAGCAGTCCTGCTCGGCGCTCAGGTGTCAGCCCCCTGCAGCCGCTGCAGTCCGTTTGGAGGCACAGGCGGCGCAATGTTGATGGCACGGCATGTGGGGCAGGCAGTCGAAGCCGGAATCCCATCAGACAGAGGAAGATCGGCGAAATCGGAAGATATCGGAAGCACTCGAGAACCGCATGACATGTCAAGCTTCCTCATTAGGTGCAGTTGGCAAACGCTGATTGGAGCCTGGCAGGAGCATCTGCATGAGTTTCAACGTGTGCAACCGATCAATCCCACGAACCAGATACCGCTGTCTAGCTGACTTGCCAGATGCTCATACATGCATCACCATGTAACAGTTCTCACATCTCACCGAATGTGTCTGCACAGACATGCTTACAAAACTCTGCACAGACACACCTGCAAAGCAGGGTGTGGCCAGTGCGGCTGTTGACACGGCCCACTGAGGCCACTGCCATCAGCAGAGCCAGCACGGCCTCAAGAATGGTGAACGAGACATCCAGACAAGTTTGGTGCAAAGGGCCTACTCGTGACCAAATTTCCAATGGTTCGATGGCTTGGTTGCAAAGACCCAAGCACGTGAAGCAGCTGGACATCTGAGCCGTGGAATCACTACCAATAGTCAGAAGGCAGCAAGAAGATGGGGAAGGAGGGTAGAGCTTTTCTACGAAACATCTGCCGACACTCACGTCGTCTCCGCAGCTCATCTGACCAGACATACCGAAAGGAGCCTAAAACCCCAAACTCGGAACCCCGAACCCGAAGGGGCCGGTAAGTCTCTCGCGATCTGCAGAGGCCATTCGACCTCCGCCGGCTTTTGGTCTGACGACTCTTGAGATCCACTAGGCTCCGTAGCCCCTTTATAGCTGGGAGCTCCCTTTTTTAGAGCGGGGAAGAGAGGGTTTTTAGGGTTTCTGCAGCTGAGAAATCTTTCAACCTTGAAGCCTCAAGCCTATAAACCCTAAACCCAACCCTAAACCCCTTTTCCACAGGCTTGAACTGAGCTCCCCTAAACCCTAAACCCTAAACCCCTAAACCCCTAAACCCTAAACCCTAAACCTTGAAGCCTAAAGCCGAAGTGAAAGAAGCCAGGGCCAAGGCGATCTGCAGACGAGAAGCGGCCTGGAAGTCAGGCGGTCCAGTCGCATGCCAAGCTCTAAGAAGCAGTTCGTAGCAAATAGATGAAACCCTAGACTCTAAACCAGTGTTAGGGGCAGAAACAGAATCCCAGCCAAACAGGACGAAATAGAATCTTGGAGTCAAAAAATCAAACGAACAGAAGCTTGCAATCCCGCCTCGGCGATCGGCAGAACCAGATCTACCTCGGTCTGATGGTGCAGATCTGATGCTTCGATGGAGTCTACCTAGCTACTTCGACCACGAGCCATTGTCAATAGCCGGGCAGCAAGCCCTCAAGGGCGAGCAGGACGCTACGAGACTGGACCCCCCCTGACCCCCTCCCCCACACACCCCCCTCCTCCCCCGCTTCCCTCATCTCGTCCTTGCGGCGAGGCAAAACGGGCTAGCTTACATCATTCGTGAAGCTGATGCCAAAGCCTGAAAATTCTGGGGCGGTGTCTTGTACTTCGTTGCAAAGCTTGATTCCCCTTCAAGCATATTAATATGGGAGGTTGTATGCGAGACCAGTGAGAAGTGTGATACGATTATTATAGTAACGTCTATGGGGTCATGCAGGGAATGTGCCACCATTCGCGTGGGACTATTGATTGCTCAGAGCCTCAGCATGAAAACAAATACTGACATGAAAAACCCTTCTGAAGCAACTGCGCTCATTCACTCAAGACCTCACCTCTGTGACCTCCCCCTTGCTTTCCGAAACAAGGCACCTGCTTCAAGCACAGCCGGGCCCGAGACTGAGACGGACGACGCGAAGCGTTTAAGACCACGGTTCATTATAGTCATAGGCACTTTTCACAGTAACAGTATACGAATACTAATTTGACTAAAGCTATGAATATCCTCTCAATTCCGGCTTCTCTGCCCTTGGCATCCGGCGGTCTGCGCTGCCCAACCGACCTTAGCGGAGGAGTGGACTTCCGGCCCCATGGCCCCAGGAGTCTCGTGTGCATAAGGTATATTTTTGCTACTGGACTCAAGTCTAGCCAGACCAAAAACCCCCCTAAAACCCAAACCCTTAAACCCCGTTAGTTTGCTTTTCGCAAGGGACTCAGAGCAAATGCTCTCGTGCCCTATAAAACTTTCTAACCTGTCTATCCTAAACCCTACACCCTGTCTACCTTAGTAAGCAAGCCTGCCGGGACCAATGTTCCAACTCAGTGAGGCCAAGCTCGGCACATTCTGCCCCTCCACGACCTGCCGGCTTTGTAATCTCATATCTTAATATTTTGTAGTACTTGTTCTGCATTGTATTCTATTCTCTCTTATCTCCCGCTATATGAGGTCTCATTTCATTTCATATTCTATTCCATGTGCCATATTCTTACGGTCCACTGTGCTATACTGAATCATGTTCGGCCCCATTACGATTATTACGGTGTAATCGACCATTAGATGATGTTACTGAAAAAAATTACTTTGTGTTTGAAGAGGCAATGCCCTCGATCCATCTGCAACACCTAAGCCGTGGTGCTTAAGGTGCAGGCACTGATTCTCCACTCCCTCGGATCCACTGAATGCCAACTTTTTCTATCATGGCTGCGGATATCCCGAGCTCGTGACAACTGGCACGGGCTCACTCTCCAGCACCCTATCTGTCTCACAGGTTCGGCAGTGACAAGTAAAGCCAAACTTCTGCATCTTCCGCTGCCGCACCTGAAGCGGCTGTCCCACCACAGACGGCACATAGGCCATCAACACTTCGTCACCGGGCACCAGGGGTCGGCGAGTGACGGAGTACAGCCAAAGTCCTGGACCCTTTGCTTCTGGCTGGCTCGCCGTCGCAAACTCGATGCGACAGTTCGGAAGGCAAGAGTGGTTCGTGAAGGCCAAAGCCTCGCACAGAGCAGTGCCAATAATATTCTCAAAAAGCTGTCCCTGTCGCGCGGAAGCCCAGGGACTTGTGGGTTGTTCTGTCTCTGGCTCGGACTCTGAGTCGCTTTGCAGAGGCTCCTGCATTTTAGCAAGAGCCTCTGCCAGCTCCTCAGTCAGGTAGTCTGCCACATCGGCGTGGCTGTTGAGAGGATGTGGGAGGCTGATGCACATGTTCACCAGCTCAAAGGTTCCAAGTATGTTGCTCAAGAGCTCGCTGTCCAACAAGCCCGATGCCAAGTCCTCAGCCTCAAAGATCGTCTCGAGGAGAGGGATGGCGCAGGACATGCATCGCCTCCTCTCTTCCGGCGTATCGCTGTCGTCCGCCCCTGCAAGGCTATCCCATGGAGCTGAAGCGAATTGAGAGGCAAAGCGATCTTTGACGGCTTCCAAGGACTGGCCAGATCTTCTGGCCAGCGTCATGCATGCCACATGGTGCGCCAGCAATAGCAGATGCTCTGAGTCTGTTTCGATCGCCAGAAGCTCCAGGCTTTGTAGAGCGGACCAGCTTTTTGGACCAAGACGGCCCTTGCAAAGGATGGCGTGGGAGGACTCCGAAAGCGCCCAGCTGCGACAAGACTGGCTGCAAAAGACTTCTGAGCAGTCGTTGCCGTCACACGCGATGACTTGACCGGGGCAAAAGCCGTCCGGGCACACTTCGTCGGGATATGTTGAGAGAAGGATCTTTTCGGATCCAGGCGGTGGCTCCAGATTCATGTACTTCAATTGCGAGGCTAAGCTGCCTACAGGTACCAGGCACGCGCAGCAAACCTGCACGCACTTGCGGCTTCCTGGCGACTGTATATACGCAAGAGGCCTTTCCTTCCAAAGTTGGGCACCCCAAGTCTGGTAGCTTGGAACGTATAAGCCGCGACCTTGCCCACTGCTGGTTTCGCGAACCACACACTCCTCAAAGCGAGCAAGAGCCACGGGGTTTTCAACCTCATCGCGCTTCGTCAAGAACTCTTCAAGCACCTTAGCATACTGCTCCGCAAGATGTGTGCTGGCACCGCGTGCTATGGCAGATCGCAGCACCTCTCGCGCTGTGTCGTAGTCCTGTTTGAAGATGCAGGTCGTGAAATTATCGATCCAATTCGGGTCAGGCCCCATTCCCAGAACCCCAGCAGGGGGAGCTGAAACTGCCATGTCGGGTAGGTCGCTTGGCTGCAAATAGCCGGCGATTTCAAGCTCAGTTCGGGCCGCAGAGTTTCGGACATTGATCAACGGATCACCTTCATTCCGGATGGTGCTACCAGTAGAGTGGAGCTCTCTCTTCTACGGTTGTGTTCAAAAGTCGGGCGTACCCAGCAATGCTGCCAACATTTAGGCTTGACAGAACCATGTTGCCGGACCGCTTGGCTCGGCAATGCCTCGGGTCTATCAGTAGTCATACTGTTGATGACATATATCCTGCATTACTTTAAGGACCCTAAACTATGGGAATTATGGTATATTCCCTATTATGGGTAACGCAGGATTTACATCATCAACCGTAACTACCGTCTCCTGACTCCTAACCTCACTAAGCAAGTTCCCCAATCCTGGACTGGGACGAACCCTACCAAGCAAGTCCCCTGATCCTCTAACTGAGTATGCCGGACAACCCTAAACCCGAAACACCAAAGACACTGAACCCCATACCCATACCGAACAAAAAAACAACAACAAAGCCCAAACCCCCAAACGCCAAAACCCACAATTCCCGGCCTCTGTCTGGACCTCTCGCGTCCCATGGACGGACTTCTTGGCTCGGGGCTCGGGCATACTTCTCCATCCTGGCCCGCACTTAGAACGGTTTTTTTCCCTCCCACATAGCAAGGAAGAGCCCGCATTGCAGGATTAGAACGGTTTAGGGTTTAGGGTTAGATGCACTTAGGGTCTGCAGGGCTTCTATGTACTGGGCTCTTGTTAAGGAGTTTAATCTAAGCTATCACAATAAGGATCTAAAGCAAATAATATGGTTTCCTCATCATAGTAAGCTAAGTTAAACCCCTTAACAAGAGCCCAGTATATGTTCTATAGGGCTTTGAGTTTACGGGGTCACAGGGGTTTAGGGTCTATCAAGGTCTTATGAGCATTGTTTTGCATCCCGTCTTATGAGCATTCTATATATTATATAGAATGCTCCCGGTTTATACACAGGGGGTGTAAAGAGTCAAGAAACTCCCATGTGTCAAAACCACTGAAGGCAGCCAAGACTCTGTAGACTGCGGTTTGGGCCACGCAGGATCAGCTCAGACGACCTTTCGGATCCTGAGCGGAAGGTACAGGGCTTAACTAGGGCCCTTCGACTCTCACACTCGCACGAAGGGTTTAGGGTTCAGGGACTCTAGCCTCAGAGGTTTCACATGCTTCGGGTTTCTGCCACGAGTGAAGCAGCTCTTGGAACCAGCCGGGCATGTACAAGTCTGTGCAAAAGGGAGTTTAGTCAGGGGTTTGGGCTTTGTCAGCTGGAAAAGCAGCAAAAGCTCAGCAAAGGCATTTAACACTAAAGCCGCCAATGATCGAAGTTTCGGTCACCTCTCCTGCTGCAGGTTTGGGGAGTGGCTCAAGCCTTGAACTAGGCCGCAGTGCAAGCAAGATCAGACGAAACACCCTTGGCACTTAAGTGCTCGCCCAAGCAAAACATGGCAACGCAAGTGCATCACTAGTTACCGTGGCTGGTCTTACAGTCAGCAGCATATTTTGGCATAGCAGTGGTACTGCAGCCAATCACTGGTTACCGATTCCAAAATGTCGCCAGGGCTGGAGCGGTCAAAGGTGTAGTGTAGCAGTGTAGTGTTGATGTGTAAGTGTTGCACAATGAAAGGCCATCGTGACTTCCTGAATAAGGCTGTTTAGAAGGTCGTTGTCTGATCGGTGCCTCTGCAGGGACTCACTGACATGTACATGCTGAAAGCCTCTCATTCCGCACAGACTCTGCCAGAAGTCCTCCACTAAATCCCAAACCCTAAACCCCTAAAACCCCTAAACCCCTAAACCCCTAAATCCTCCTAAAGCCCCTAAACCCACATATTTCATATTTGGGGAATCAGCTCCCACCCTTTCGTCTCTAGGGGCCCCCGACGCGTCTGGGGAATCAGCTCTGACCTGCATGATTCCGAGAAAAGCATGGTGGTAGTTCTCCAAATTAGGACCCCCTATTCCGGTCCCGCAAAACCAGTACGGCACCCTTATAAAAAGGAGGGTTTAGGGTTGTTTGGGTTTAGGGCTTATAAAAAGGAGCCCCCAAAACGGACTTTTATTTGGAGAACTACCTTCCGTGGCCCCGGCTGCGACACACACTTGACATGTGCCTGTCGCCGCGGGCCCAGAGGTCCCCTTCAAGGGGTGCCCGGTCCAAGCAGCTCTGCAGCTCACGGGCGTAGTCCCGATTGCTGGGGTCAGCCTCTCCGGATCAGCTTTGCTTACTGGGCTCTTGTTGGGGAACTTCATTTCAAGCTCTTTGTAAGGATGATCGTAAATAATAGGGCTTCTTGATTATGGTAACTTAAACCAAGGCATTTAAGAAGAGCCCAGTCTGAAGGGCTGGCTGTTGGGGGGATAATGGTAATGAGTCATAACAATACGAATAAGAATAATACCAAAAAGCGTTATTATTGCGCGGCCTTCAGGAGCTTCCTGTAGCAAGCGGCTGCTTGAGCCCACTGGTGTCGTTCTCTGTGAAGGCAGGCGAGCTGGTGTTGCACCTGCTGGGTTCTTGGCAAGGAACTTAGCCTGAGGTTGCCAGAATAAGCAGACCCCATGATTTACTATAATCTATAGATCCCGACTATGCGAACTCAAATTCCCTGCGCTGTAGGCGACCCGGGTTTGCTGAATGCAGGAGAAGAGAAGTTAAGTCAAGGGATTTGCTGGCCGAAGCCGCGGTGTGGTGGCACAGGATTCGTCAAGCTGGTGGCCACGATGCTGTATTCACAATCCACAAACGCACGACACAATAAGACCATGGCTAAGCCGGCTAGGTCAGGCTGCACGGCACAGGTCAGGTCGCACTGGAAAATGCAATGCCTGCATGTTGAACTCGTCGACTTCTTGCCTCACTGAGACCCCAGAGAGCCCAATACCCCTTAATTAAGGCATATATACCTTAAATCATAATGTTAAGGCCCCTATAATTTAAGGTATATTCCTCAATTAAGGGGTGTTGGGCTCTCTGAGACTCGCAGTCACCAAATGTGGTGATGCGGTGTGATGCCATGCAGTGCTTCTCTGTACTTCTGCTGTGGGTCCGTTGAGCCTAGCCCAGCCACGACCTGCAATCATCTTCGACCATATCGTAATCTCCAGACTCTGAACATACTTTTGCAGCATTTTCAAGCTCCGGGAGTCGAAACTTTCCAAATTCGTCCTGGCGAGGACGGCCTTTTTTGAATCGAGTCATGAACGGAGACTTCCCCACCCCGTAGTACTTCCGGCCGAAACAAATCGGCAAGGCAGAGTGCGGCGGATCAAACATTAGTGACGCTGCACAGGCACACACACACACATTGAACCATATGTTTCTTCGAAGCACGGCTCTGTGGCTAGTCTCTCATGAGAACTGTATGGTTAGATTTGCCGAACAAATGCCCAGGGGCAAGTAGTTCCGCAATAGCCAAAGCGCCTGACATGACGACATGACATTGCGAATCCGGCCTAATTAATCCAAATCTAAGCCTGCAAATTGACTACTGAGGGTAAGTTGTAGCTGCTCGCGGTAGTCAACATGGGCTCTTGAAAAATGCTACAGCAGACTTCCGCTCAAGCTCCGGCCTCAGAAAAATTGCCGGCGCGCTGCTCCAGCACTGCAACGGCGCGGAGAATACGGCTGCTTCGCTCGTCAAGGCCTGGAGCGAGCCAGAGATCAGATTCCCGTGCAGGCTGTAGTGGAATTGCTTGTTTTCAGTCTAGACTTCAAGTGCGATCGTGCGTCTGAGTGGTAGATATATATATATACATATACATATACGGCGGCTATGACTATGATTACAGTATGCTTGTGTGAAGTGGGGAATTTGCATACCATTTGACTGCGCACGTGGTCAGGTGTTCCCCGAGAACACAATACCCCTGCATGAAGGAATATACCTTAAATCATAATTTTAAGGCCCCTATAATTTTAAGGTTTTTTCCTTAACTAAGGGGTATTGGGTTCTCTGGGTTACAGTTGCAGAGCATCAAGGCTTCTGGTAGGAAGCCCCTGAGCGTCACGCGGTATGCCTCTCGAAACCAGTGCAAGGCTGCGTCCTGGAATCGTGCTCCATCGGATCATTCAGAGTTTTACGGTGATTGTGAGACTATGTGAGCTTCAGCCAGGAAACACCACCATCAAAGCCTGATGTGGAACCCGACTGAACACTTTAAAGGGATCCTTGTTGTAGATTCCTGTGAACCCCTGCGTCCCTAACGGTTCCCCTTGCACGGCCAGCGAGGAGACGCAAGGGGTGGCCTCATCGCCTCTTTCGAAGTACGCGGCTCCAAGGTTGCACCGAGCCGGCGCGCTCCTCTACAAGGCATGTAGTGATCGTGGGTGGTGCCGGGTACTCTACTATGGCTGATGAGCTGGTACACTTCATCTGCTTTTATCCGTATTCCAACACAACATCTGCACATTTTAGAAGACTTGCCGCTCACTCGGTATAATTTGATGTTTGAACCTTTACCACGACTATTCCTTAGGGTTCCCTACTATGATTGTACCATACCACACTAGAATATACTCTGATACACAATTCTATCCTATAACAATTAATATGTTGTAAAAAAACTATAAAGATACCGCTATAGTATACGATAGCAACATGTAAGCGAATCATTGCTAATATTGAGATAATGGGGAAGGGAGGGGTGGGTAACTTTTTCTGTGTAGCACCCAAGCTGCTGGTCGGAGCCTCGGCACTCGATTGCAGACCGCGTGGAACTCCCGGATAGCCTCCTGCGAGCAGCAACAGCTTGAGGAGGGTGCATATACACCTCATATACAAGTATACATAGATACATATGTATATATACAGAAAGCGTCGCCCTGA